AGTATATATATATATATATACAGTATATATATATATATATATATATATATATTACTTAAATCATATTCCAGTAAGGTATTGTAAATAAAAAGGAAGCTCTATTGCTCTAGCCAATATGCACATTCAGGTGAATATCAGTTAAGGCAGGGGTTCCCCAACCCTCGGGCTGATACCGGTCCGTGGCCTGTCCGCAAAAGGGCTGCAGCTGCCGGCCCTTGCCAGAGCCAGATTAACATGGGGCTCCCTCACCAAGCGCATCCTTGCACATAGGCCTGGCTAGCCCGGATCATCTTGGCATGCCCGACTCAGGCAGAGGTGGCCCTCTAATCAGGCACATTAGAAGGCCGCTCACTCCTCACTAACTTTGCAAACTTTGTGGATATTCGGTGTACACTGCAAAAAGTTGCACAGTGCCAAGATTCATGCAATCGCATTGTTGGTGTCGAACAAAAGCTACCAATACGGGTCATAACACTGAAACAAAAAAGCTTTTACATGTTCCAGTAGAACAAGCAGATGTAAATATTAACTTCTGTTTGGACTGCACTTTTGGCCAGAGATTAGGAGTTATTTTTGTTCACTGTTTGACAGGTCACAAGCTCGTTGACATGGCCGAGGTGATTGTGCACTTTAGACTTGAGCTGCCCCCGGCTGTCAGCAAACAAAGGTTTTCTCTTGTCTCATTGAAGCCAGGTATCTTACCATCCACAGGATTGATCCAGTTGGTTGCTCCACTTGCGTAGAACCGCTCCACCGAGACTTCACTGTCGCCAGGCCAAAATCACCAATTTTCACCGTCAGCCCTTCATGCAAAAATATATCTATATCACAGTATAGGAAGATATCGAAGCCAGAACATGTTAAATACACGGCACCCTAAAGACAGACTATTTCATGATGCTTTCCATTGCGTACTTATCAGGGTTTATGTTCATCAACATCCCTAATCACAAGCCAGTATAAAAGAGAAATTATGCGCACTAGCTCATAGCAACCTCCTTTATCCTCTGAGGTTTATCACATGACATACCCTATTAAGCATTGTCATCTCTCAGACTGAAACTGAGTAACCATGTAAATCATCATTATCCTTGCAAGCTGAATACACATAAGCGATACTCCCGTTATCAAGCTCCGGAACGTGAGTTCCGGAATGTTTGTGAACTCCTAAAGCCGGTAACAGGGACCTTTCCCGGTCCTAGGTGCTCATTTTCACAAGGAGATGCTTTTCCTGCCTAATAGGCACATCGAATTAGGGTGACATCAGAAGCCCTTTTCTGTACAAGGAGGTTTTTGTGTATAGACTGGACATGGCAATCAATAGAATAATAATAATAGTGTGCACGGCCAGAGTGCTGTGCTTACATTTAACAGATAAAGGCTCCCCAGGAAAGGGGTCATGGGTAGAAAATTGGGGGGGGGACCAAAAAAGGTGTTAAAGAGGATCTAGAATTATGATCACAATGTGGAAAAAGAAGATTTCCGACACTGAGCATCTCATAACAAGGAAACAAGGGCTATTTTATCAGTTTTGCATGATCAGTGCCAAGCTGAAATCCACATGCAGCGGAAAGATGCTCGTCACCAGAACAGAACACCAACAATGTTGATATTGCTTTCATTTACTAAGTGGGCAATGCAGATCATATTGTTAAAATGTCTCCTTGTACATGCTATATCTGCTTTAAGCCATGTTACATTTTCAAAATGACCGCTTTGACACCTGCAAGCACTACAATGCAATGTAAATCAGCATTCGTTAATAAAATAAAGAGCAAGGCGCAAGAACCAGCAGCAACCAATCAAAATGTATTTCTCACTGCTCTGCAGTAAACTGATATCTGTCTGGCTGCAATCTTATTCTTATACGTTATTGTTACATTTACATGGCATTCCTGTTCTTTGAACCCTTTAAATGAAGAAGCCTGAATCATCCTTCAGTCACCTAATTCCAGACTGGCGAAGCCGCCATATGCATTACATTGATCCTACCCTTACAGTTGTGCACAAAAGGAGCCCGCCACCCATATTAACTGACACTTGCTTTTTTGTGACCCAGAAAAAGATACTGTTTGACTTCATGTCTCTGTGGATGATATTCTTTGCGTGTAAATAGCTGCAAGAAAGAACAAAGATGTTAAACATCAAAGAAAGAAAAACAAAAAGGAATAACTTGGCTGGTCCTCCAAAAGCTGGGTAAAAGGTTGTTCAAGTCATTGTGTAGACTGGATTGTGTTTTTTCTATCTTCTGCTCTCGATCATTGTGCTACAACGACACAAGCTGCAACAAGTCCCATGCCTGATGGCACACAGCAAGACTGACATTTAGCTCGTAATCAGCAAATATCCTGCTTGGCAACATACATCCCGAGCCGTCAAACAAGAATAGCGAGAAATGCATTTACCCACAAGTTGGAGATCCTAGGATGTTAATCATAGGAGAATACAACACGTAAAAGAACATGGACCAAGACATAATGAGAAGCATGAGTCACACTCATGGATTATAACAGCTTGTATAAAGAATAGTCCATGTGCACTAACAGATTAGGAGTCCAATGCCTCTCTATCCAATGAGGTGCTGGTTGCTGTCCAGGTGCCCGGTGGTCATGAGGACAGAAAGTGAGGAGGCAATCTCTCCAGGGAAAACATAGGTTAGGAGCTTAGATCATTTTAAGTTACGGAAAACAGATTAAAGTGGTGCCCTGACATGTGTTTGCAAATGTATACAATAAAACCCTTTGTTTTTAACCTAAATGCTGGGACAGCTTTAAAGGAGAAGTGAGGCATTGGACACTGCAGCATTCCTACGTCGGCTCTATATACCGAGAGCTGAGTGATCATATAACCACTGATCGCTCAGCCTATGGTCTCCTCCCTGCGGAGAACGATGATGGTCAGTCCCTGCCTTCCCTGTTCCTCTAGGGGAGGGAGAGGACACAGCTGCCCTAAAGAGGCAGAGCCAGCCGTCACTTAGGCAGCCAAGGTGGGACCCCGACAAATGTTTTTGGGATCTTTCTGTGTTGTCAACAGGTAACAGACATTAGCTTCACTTATCTTTTAACCTCTTCGTGAGAGGGTACTGCAGTTTTTCGCCGTTTCACGGACGCAGGCAATTTGTAACCTGGGCATGTTGGGTATCGTTTTACTCGTTGTAACCTCATCTGTTATATTTTATTTAAAAAAATTGGTATTTTGTTGTGTTTTGGGGCAATTAAATTTGTCACTAAATTTTGGGATTTAATAAAGGAGTTGCTCTAATATTGTGCAACATAAAAATTTGCAACTACCACCATTTTATTCTATATGGTCTTGGCATTCAGAAAATATATAATGTTGGGGGGTTTTAAGTCATTTTCAGGCCTAAAATGTGGAATATAACATGGGTGCAAAAAATGAAAAAAAGGCCTCAGTCATGAAGGGGTTAAAAAAGTATTTGTGTGGCAACTAGCTTGGTTAAAGTCCTCAGCATTTTTTTTGTATGGTTTGAATATGCAATCACAAGGCCTAATCACCGAAAGTATTTGCAAGAACTGCCTGTGTTGCATTGTAACCAGATCATAGTCACACGGTTTCAAACAAGAGTATTACCCAGCCCCCCCCACCACCAAAAAAAACTCACTCCATTCCCTGTGCCGTCTGCCTGGCAATGTCGATCAGCTGGAACATCTGGAATTTGGTCTCCTGTACATGCAGATGTTTGTAGAGGCTGCTTCCGTCACACCACTGTGTAACAATAGCCAGGTTGTCTTGTGTCATGTAGCCCATGAAAAGCAGAATGTTGACATGCCGAGTTTTTCTGTGAAGGAAAATTCATTAAATAGGTGTCCACTTTCAATATGTACACTGACATATCCGACCAACAGATGCATCCAAAACAAAAATCAGAGACCCGGTCCAGTTTTAGTCCTGTAGTTACATTTGCAGCCATTCAAAACATAAGTGAACTGTTAACCCTTTCCCTGCTGTGTACTTCAATTTCATAAACGTCATGCCTTTCCAATAATTTGTATTCTATAAAAGCCTTTTCAGCTTTGTTTGATAGCATCACAAACAGATCTGGAAGGATGGTTGCAAACAGCCCTGCACTGTCTTGCATTTCCGCTCTTTAAGGTTATAATGAAAGTGTGGATTCCCCAACAATTTGGTTTTTTATAAAGCTAATATCATAATAATATAAAATAATCTTAATAAAAAAATAATTTATTGAATATAAACGATTAGGTTGTTCCAAGTAAACCTATACCAAATAAATTAAGTAGGGTTTTTCAGTATCTAGTACCGATATTTTTTCTTCGGGAACTCGCCGATACCCATTAAGTAAGCCGGGCGGCGTGTAATGACTTGCCGCCCAACCTCCTGATTAGCCGGGAAACTGTTACCATGCTACCATGCTCCCTTGTCAAGTGACAAGAAAGCGTGGAGCCGGCTTTCTGCCCCATCAGGAAGCTGGGGGGGGCGGGTAATAACTTGCCGCCTAGCTTCCTAATTGGCCAGCTTCCCAACCAATCAGAAAGCTGGGCAGCGAGTCATTACACGAGTGACGAGGGAGCATGGAGATGGCTTCCCTGCCAATCAGGAACCTGGACAGCGTGTAATGACTCGTCACCCATCTTCCTGATACTGGAAGTTCCGGTACCAGGAACATTTGGGCTAGTATTAGTATCATTGCATCCCCAACATCAAGCCTCAAAAATATGCGAGCCCGCAAAAAAGGTAAACTACAATACATAAAATTGTCCATAGGAGACACTTTAAAAGCCTTTACAGCTCATCAATTTAGAACTAACCCTAAATGATGTCCCTAAAATGATTCCGCTCACTTCAGCAATAACCAATATGTGTTGTGCAATCTGTGTTTGCATTTGTATATGTCTGTAAAAGGGACTAAGAGCTTTTCATTTTTTTGGCATCTTTAATATAATTTAACAGAAGCAGAATTCCCTTCTACAACAAAGTAGGTAAAATATCAAGAAACGTGCTGCTGCTATTGCATCCATGAGTGTGTTTACATGCCCTTACTACCATGCAGTAGTAGCTACATCGGCAGCAGCTAAAGTGTTAATGCTGGACCACTGCTGCTTATACTCGCTTCCCTTTCAGATTTAGTCACCTAGGAAAATGATCTGACATACCTAGTTCTTCTGGGTATGGGATGCATGTGACTCATTCACTTTTCTACCAAGTGACCGCTTTGGTGATTGGCAACTGGCTGTTCAGGCACCTAGAGCTCCCCATCCCAGTGGTGGGGAAAGAGTCCTCAGCCCTGTGTATGCGCCAGGTCACAATAGAAAAGTTAAAAAAGGAGAACTATGAGGTGAGTGAAAAATCACTCATCCTTATAGTACGGGCCATGTGCGACAATTAAACTGTCACGTCGGCTCAATAGATCGGGAAGTGAGCGAACACATACTGTCGCTCTCTCACCTCCCTGCAGAGAGCCGTGACCGTCAGTTACGGCTCCCTGCAGGGATTCCCCCCCTCCACGCTCTGATCCTCCTGCACTGACTGGAGGAACGGATGGGGGAGGGGGCAGGTACAGCTGGCTCTGCCTCTAGATAGGCAGAACCTGCTGTCACTCACGCAGCTGGGTGGATCTCGACTGCAATGTCGGCATCCATCCCGGCTGCCTCAGTATTCCGTGAGTATATGTCCTCCCGTGACCCTAAAGAGAACTATGGGGACAAACACTTACCCCATAGACTGAATACTGAAAAATGGCCTGGATGGGAAGGGGGTGTAACATCGCGGATGTCAACTGGTTAAGGGGGCTGTCTTGTGCAAAACCCATCACAGTTCATTCAAAGTTACCAACAGGATGAAAGCCTAAACACTTATTCTCAGGTGACATGTAAATAAATAACACTTGGAAAAGTCTTCCGAGATCCGTTGGTGTTGGGAAGATCCATGGCCACAAAAGAGTTTATGGCGGTCTATTACTGCAATGTAATTCACCCACCTGAGGACTGCTACTTCATTTCTAAAGGCCTGGAACTGTTCTGGAGTTGGATCAGTAACTTTGAGAATTTTCACCGCTACATCCCCTGTGACAAAAAGGAGAGAAAACAGTTTGAGAAGAGCAGCAGTAAGGCACAACCATCGCACAGCATGGCTAAGCAGGAAACAGATCACATACCTGATAAGCAACTAAAGCAGTCACTGCCACCATGTACATACAAAAGTACAAGAATGGAAACAAGAATTAAAAGCTGAACTCCAGGCAGATATAAAAGACACAAATGAATGCTTCTCTGTATCTCTAGTGTATTTCACTTAAATGCAAACACTATAACTACCTGACTTTGACCCAGTATCAGCCTTTTGCAGTCTGTTGTAGACAGATGACACATACGTTAGGACCTCACTATATAGAGGTGCCTAGACGAGGCAGTGCGGCTTTCACATTTTCTGCAGAAGACGTGTAACTAAAACCTCTGTTTTTAACCTTAGCAGTTAGACAAGTTTTTTTGCATGCTGGCTGGCGAGTGTGCTGGGAAACTTTTTGCTGTTGACTTGGAACCAGGCTTACCAAAGAATCCTGACCGTTCTATATACATCCCACTACTGGTCTTTCTACCATACAGGGCACAATACAAACTTTTAGAAAGTCCTTCATAGCATGCTGTGACTTCCATATAGATTTGTTATAGCTCTAAAAGTATGCAACTTGCCACTGTATTCCAACTATGATTTTAGAAACTGTTTTTAAAGTATATCCCCTTAACTAGCCCTGCTGAATTTCTATGTATTTCTGTACAGCACCAAAAGGACAACATAAGTATAACCTACAAAAGGTCAGACTGTCCTGCCACATGTTCTGCCAACATAAAGCACACTGCCCTTTGGTAAGAGTTAAATGACGCATGGAGAGCTATGCAGCCTGCTATTATGCAGAGAGACTGTCACATCCCAGCATTTTCTGAAAATTATAGGTCAAAGAAAAGCACAAGACTTCTCATGGCATGAATATAATAAGAGCCCAGCCTTCCTTATGAAGGCCATAATTTGAATCCCCAAAACAATATACATGTAGGCTTGGCTTGTGCCAACAGCTCGTGAATGACCTCCTAAGAACCTGCAGACTTGCTGACCCGCTCATTGTTCCAACTGTGAGACAGTCAAGCAGAGTCTTATAAAGAGTTCTAATTGGGTAACAGATACTACTGCTAATTAGCCATTGTGCCACCTAAAACTAGTCCCTCAATTACAAGTGAGCTCCAGTCAAAAGAAAAAGAAAATTGCAGTTTTACATTAGAATGGTCAATGCACATTTGGGAACTGTTTACATCCCTGTGCAGCCATTGTTTCATTCTTTTAAGGTCCTCTAATGGCATAGGTTTCTTTTCATTAGCCGGTAATCTTTTACTCCCCATGACCTAAATAGTAGCCCATCGGAAATGCTCTTCAAGAACAACTGGACTAAATGTTGTTCCCAGTTTCAGACAGTGGGGAAGGGTTAAAGTATTTACTGCTGTTTGAGTCTGAAAACCCCAATAAAGTTGTCAAGAACTGCAAAATGTAATCCCAGCCATAACATTATGACCACCCGCCTAATATTGAGTAGGTTCCCCCTTTTGCTGTGAAAACAGCCCTGACCCGCCAAGGCATGGGCTCCTCTTGACCACTAAAGGTATGCTGTGGTATCTGGCACCAAGCTGTCAGTAGCAGATCCTTTAAGTCCAGTAGGTTGCAAGGTTGGGCCTCCGTGGATTGGACATGTTTTTCCAGCACATCTATTCCACAGATATTGGATTGAGATCTGGAGAATATGGAGGCAATGTCAACACCCTGAACTCGTCATTGTGTTCCTCAAACCATTTTTAAACCATTTTTCCAGTGCGGCAGGGCGCATTATCCTGCTGAAAGAGGCCACTGCCATCAAGGAATACAGTTTCCATGAAAGGGTGTACTTGGTCAGCAACAATGTTTAAGTAGGTGCTACGTGTCAAATTAACATCCATAAGAATGGCAGGGTAACACCCACAAGAATGGCAGGGAAACCCAAGGTTTCCCAGCAGTACACTGCCAAAGCATCCCACTGCCTCAGTCGGCTGGCCTTCTTCCCATAGTGCATCCTGGTGCCATCTCTTCATCAGGTAAGAAACACACAAGCACCCAGCCATCCACATGATGTAAAAGAAAATGTAATCAGACTAGGCCACCTTTTTCCATTGCTCCGTGGTCCAGTTCTGATGCTCACATGCTCATTGTAGGTGCTTTTGGTCGTGGGCACATGTCAGCATGGGCACCCTTGACAGGTCTGTGGCTATGCAACTCCATATGAAAAAGACTGCAATGCACTGTGTGTATTCGGACACCTTTCAATCAGAACAGAGAATAACTTTTTCAGCAATTTCAGCTACAGTAGCTCTTGTATTGGATCGAACTATACGGGCCCGCCTTTCCTCCCCACGTGCATCAAGGAGCCTTGGCTAGCCATTACCCTGTCGTCGGTTAACTGGTTTTCCTTCCTTGGACCACTTTTGGTAGTTCCAGACTAGGAACATCCCACAAGAGCTACAGTTTTGGAGTTGCTCTAACCCAGTTGTCTAGCTATTGCAATCTGGCCCTTGTGAAGGTCGCTTGACTGGAGTGTACTGTTAGCACTATAAGCACACTATAAAAAAAAAACACTATAAAAAAAAGTTGCTACACAGGGTTAACGTAAATTTAAGACCAGCCAGCAGGTTCGCCTCTTTGTCAAGGCGGAATATGTATGATGTAATTCCCACTTCTAAGGCAACACCCAAAGTTACAGTCATCTGCCAAAACTGCATGCTTCTCTCTCTCCTTTTCTGGAAGAAGACAGAGGATTTACTTTCTCACATGATGACAATCAAAAATTCAACCTTACGGTTGGGGTAAAAAAATGTCATATGTGGAAACAACTAGTCATTGCTTGAATAGTTTTTATGTCTGTGTACGATGATATGAAAATCACAGGAATGAGTCTATGAACTGTCAGTAAAGACCAGATAATACGGTCAACCCGATAACTTAGCCAATCCTAAATAATGCAGCAGAAAAAGCCAAAAATTGCGTGCACGCGCGAAACCTCAAAAAACGATAATACCCAAAATTGGTCATAGGCGACGCTTTAAAAGCTGTTACCGCTCATCAGTTTAGTGTTATCAGTGATTGATGGCCCTAAAAAGATTGCTCTCACTGCGACGTTCGCGGCGATATGTAACATGTGTAGCGCAATTGTAATTTTTGCGCGCTGGGGCACCGGACGCGTATTTACGTTTATAGGCGCGTAAACGTGGGGGTGGGGGAGTTAAACATTTTGGGGGTTTTTTCCCCCTTTTTTATATGTGACTTATTTTTTTTATTATTATTATATTTATTTTTTTGCACTTATTGTTATTGCTGTTATATAGGGGGAATACAATCCCCCTATATAATAGCAAAGGCACACTGACAGGTCCTCTTTATGGAGACATTAGGGGTCTCTAGGACCCCTAATGTCACCTGTGGACCCCAAAAGAAGCTGATGAAGCAGAGAGGGGGGTCGGACGCGAACGAGCAAGCACATAGACGATCGGCAGGCTATGGAGCCGCTGTAACGTTAACGGGTGTGTGCAATGGTCGGGTCTTTTCTGCCCGTGCGTGCCCGCTAGGGGGCGCGCGCGAGCAGAAAAAAACTGCCATCTGGAGACAGCAACCCGCCAATGCTGCAGTGCCGCCCTTTTTTTACAACCGGCGGAAGGCAAGAGGTTAAAAATGGACCTGACTTGAAGTGTATGTCAGGTCAAAATAAAATGTACATGTAATTTCCGAGTGTGGGCTGACAACACAGTATTTTTGGGGTAAAATCAACTATTTAAAATGCTGATTAACCACTTGCTGCCCGGAGCAATTTCTTACATTTGCACACACATGATAAAATCAGAATATTTGGCTAGAAAACAGCTTCAGACCCCCAAACAATAATATATATTTCTGAAAGCATAGGCCCTGTAGAATAAAAAAATGCTAGTTGCAATTTTTTTTGTCACACAGTATTTACGCAAATGTTTATCAAATCAGAATTTTAAGGATAACTTGCACTAAAATGAAATTTAGTGCACAGACAATGAATACAATACCCAATTTTTTGGTAAAATATAAAAGATGGGGTCACGACGGGTAAATAGATACCAAATATGTGAAGCCTTAAAATTGCTTCCGTCCGTGAAACCACAAACTACAATAGCCCAAATTTCCTATAGGTGACGCTTTAGTTTTTACTAGCAATGACTGAATGGCCCTAGATTTATTGCTCCAACTCCAACATTCGTGACAATATGTACCATGTGTGGTGCAAATTAAACAATTTTGCACATAGGCGCACCCAGCACGTTTGTGTTGTATGTGCACTGTTTTTGCTTTTTTTTATATGTTACTTTCTTTTTTACACTCAACTTTATTGCTATTGCATATGGGCTAAGTAGCCCCCTATGTAATAGAAAATATAATGCGACAGGTCTTCTATCACCTAGGGTCTCAAAGAAGCAGAGGAAGCAGAGATCTGCTTCTGCCAGCTCCTCCGTCCTCCAAGCTAGTGTTATGGACAGTTGCTGGAGACTGCTCTGTCCCTTGTGATCTTGTACTGGACAGGAAGTTCAGGATAGTGAAGCTGAGAGAGTTGGAGCTGGTTGGAAACATGATAACTAAGTGCTTGAGAAAAAATGTCAAGAAATACTTGGCTGGGCAATGTAGATTTGTTTGATTTGGATTCAATATTGAAAAAAGTTTGAGCGTTTAATAGTACTTTAACAGTGTCAGCCCTGCTCAGTTGTTTTGCTAAAAGACTGAATCCTTCCCATCCTGCTCATCGAAACAAATAAGAACTAGGAGGGCTAATTAGACTAAATGGGATACTACAGGAAATACGCAGAAACAAGAGACAGCTCTGAATTTCTGACAAGATCAACAGGGTTTTTTTGCACTTATAGAACAGATAACTAAATTGTTTTCATCAGTATATTTAAGAGAGCAAAATGAAATCAAAAAAAGGGAAGAAAGTTAGGGATTACATACACTATAAACACTTCAAAGCACAGGCACCAAGGGTCTAGCTTGGCCTTCAAATCAATCCCTGTTTTACTATGGAGCCCCCTGGATCCTAGG